TATATATATATATATATATATATATATATATATAATAATTTTTTGTTTATAAAGAGAAATTTAATGAACACAGTGTGAGAATGATGATAAACGTATTCATTAGTATTTTTTTTTTTTTGAAAGTGTTCTCAGCCTCAATTTTTTTATTTTATTATATTTAAGATTTGATGCATTTAATATGATGTTTCTTCTAAAATTTTAATTTTTAATGTGTTATAAAAAACATAATATCATTATGAGATGAAACTCTTGTCCTACAAAGTAAGTAGTCATTTTCTTAATGCTTTGTAAGGATCCTTTTTTGAGAGTCAAGTGGTTGACAAGAGAAGCCCCAAGGTTATTCTCCAAAGCATCGTTCATTCTAGTTGCCACTTATGGTGGCAAAGAGATGCAACCTTAAAATAAGAAGAAAAGTTAACTAAATAGATGAAGTTATGCAAGTAATTAGATTAATGTTTATATCTTATAAATTTATTTATAACATATTACTTCCATAACATGGTGCCTATGTAGGTGCATGAGCATATGACAAAAAAGTTTGCATGGAAGCATCATTAAGGTCAGTTGACTTCATTTTTAGTCAACCATCTTTCTCTTGACTGAAGCTTGGTTAGACTACTTGAGCTCAATCTTGACTAAACCCTGGAATTTTTGTTTACTCTTCCGAAACTATTATAAGGCTCAAAACTTTATTTTGAAAGTTGCATGAGGCTTATTATTACTAATAAAGACCTTACAGACTAATTTGATGATTAATTGAAACAATTTTACGTAAAACTGTCCATTTGAGGTCTCTATGCATGAAATGATCTTACATAAAAATTTTTCAATGAGACATTATTTTTGAACTCGGGCTTCATCATTGTATCTGTGCCATCAAAATATTTCAAATGAATTCATTTGTGCTCAATTTTGACCCCTTTTAGGTATCATTTGAGCAAATGATAAATTGAAGAGAGAAAATGATAATTAGGACTTGGTTGACATCCATGCTATGCAACCCATTTAAAATCCGGCCCAAAAGCCGTGCAGAAAAATAAAGACAACTTCTAAAAATTCTGAAAATTTTAATTTTAAAATTTTGATTTTCTCAATCTTTAATTTTTAGAATTTTGAGTAGAAAATTTATAATTTTAAAGTCCTTAATGAGACTAGATTTTAATTTTATAGCATCCCAGATAAACCAAAAATAAAAAAGAGAAAGCAATTCAAACATGCATACATGCAAGAAAGACAATAAATAAGCAAAAAATAATGAAAGGTCGGTGTTGCTCGCTCGACAATATATCTCAAAAAAGAAAAAAGTGGTTATGCACCGCATAAGTGCACGTCTGCTCCTAATTCTATACATAAATAAGGTTTAGAATTAAGGTGCGAGACACAAGAAAGCAACTATTTATCCCCGTCAAGTGGTTTGATTTGTCTGGCGCCTAGGACCCGTGTCAGTACCTTATTTCTAATACAAGCCTTCCCTACAACTCTAAAAGTATAGAGAGAAAAAGAGAAAAAAAGGACTTGGCTTGTATGAAAATAATGTTAGCTAGAAAACCAACAAACATGCAAGTTACGATGAGTCATGCCTCATGAGGTAGCCTGGCTACACCTACAAGCATACATTATCATGTAAATTATCACTTGATCCCTCTTTTATTATATTTGTGTGTGTGCATATATATGGCATGATCCCCTGCAGAAGATTGCCCTAGTATACTATCATGCATATCAAAACAGGCACGCACAAGCACATAAAAAAGCAAAAAAGTGACGCATGGTTAGAACGAACAAGCTGACAAAGAAGAATAGTTAAAGGCATTGAA